CCTGTTTATGTAATGAAAGTTTTGCTTTCCAGTTGAACAATTTTCGGACAATATTCAGATCTCTGGCAGAGGTTCAAGATAAGTCTATGTCTTAAGCTCTTGAAAATATATGTGGACTCAAACAACTACTTTTTTCAATTAGCTATTCGTGAAAAGGGCGAGAACTGGCCCTAAGCAGTATTCTACAATTGATAGATGAAGGATCTTATAGGCACCGAGTGCAGAGAAATTAATATTTGTCAGAGTTGACAGTTGGTGAAACCATACAGTTGCAGCGCGATCCAATCTTGTTGATTGGACGTAAGTTGATGCGCTTTTGTTCAAAGTCTGTTGCACCACTCGATCAGTCTTGTAATCCTGGTGGACTTTTTTGAAATGACAAGGAGAAGTTGTTGATAATTTTTTAGGGAGGCAATGTGCAGGAAGTACTTAGAGCCCAATGTATAGTTTAAGTCTTCCTTCCAATTGCCATAAACTGTAACTACTAACAGTCAAAAATCAGGACTTCAACTATCAAATCAAAGCTTACCCGGCTTTCTGACTCCACTGACTCCATATAGAAGTACTCAATATAAGGCTTGTTATAAATGCATTTACTGACGAACTCTCATCAAAGTTTGTCTAATGCAACAAATTAAAGTGAAATAAGCCGGAAAGTTGCTTAAACGCAGTTTTAAATTTCTGACGTCCATCTTCGACTATGTCTGCACAAGAGGAAGTCTTTCTTACGGAAATCACCAGAAGAGAGTTAGAAGAAAAATAATATAACGTTGACAACTGATATTTTTAAGTTAATAAACGATGATGAACTACCGGACTTAATTCCGGATGTTAAGAAGACGTTAATGAACTTGTGCGCGTGCGACTACGTAGGCTAATAATATCGTAAGCAAATCACGCAGACCTTTTAATTTTGATGTGTGCGATTTTTTGGAGGGACTTGAAAAGTTTTTAGGTTATCGAGTAGCAGTTTTGTTTAATGGTCGTTGTCGTTTACCGTGAGTCTAACAGTTTACTGTGTTGGAATTAAAGTGTTTGTTTGGATTTCCCGTTTCGCTTCCGAAAATTTTTGGCGACCACGATGGGAGCAAGGTATGAGCTGTGTTCCAAGGTATGAGGGTGTTCCAGGCAAAGCGCCAATATTTTAAGCCGCCATTAGGTCTCGTTTAGGGTTCCGCGAAGAAATACAGAATTACGCGAAGAAAAACAGAAGTAAAATTTTCTTTTTAACTCGTTTTGTTTACCGCATTACCTCAACATTAACTAGTTTTCTATTTTACCAAGTGCCAAGGAGACAATGCATGAACATGAGGGGTCTCTTTTGGGAGTCAAAATTTGCTTAAGCCACACCCAGATGGTCTCCTTTTGTGGTCAAATTGAAAATTTCCGACGAGCATCCCCGTTCGTTTCATATGGGAGTCCCCCCCCCCGGCCTTATCCGTGACACTGTACCCTACCGATTGCAATTCGCTCGATAGGAAAGCCATTGCCTAACACACAACAACTCAAGGTGTGTTTTTCACCTTTTTACGAGGCAAGTAGCGAACGGATTCGGATTTAACAATTTTTTTTTAACGGACTGACGGATTTGGTTATCAAATCGTAGCGGATCGGCGGATTTGCATACCCCTAGAATTGCTGTTTCGAAATTATTTGTTACTTAGCTGCACATACATTCATACACATTTATTCATTTTTATCTTTGCACTTCGCACTGGAATTTTCTGTATGTCCTCATAGGATTTTGCAAATGAAGTATGTAGATGTAGATGTAGATATCTGTTAGATTGTATAGCGAGTTCTGAAAGGCTACTGAGGTAGGAAATAATTCTTCCAATTCCCCAATTTGCTAATATTTCTACCTCTGGCTTAGTATTTACCCCAACCCTTATTGCTGCAGAAATCCCAGGGATTGTACGATCGAGACCCACGATGAAGCCAAACACCTATCCTTAACCTGAAGATTATACTTCCCTATTTCTGAGGTATCCGTGGTTTGTCACTGAAATTCACTTTGTAACATTTTATTCCACAAGATCTACAAATTTTCAACTTGAAATTATTAATCTAAGGTTTCTACAAACATAAAAAATGATTTCTCAAACAAACCGTAACAGTGTGTCTGCATTCCCCACGGTGGTGTTGGAGCTGATAAATGCGATTTCGTATAGGTGCACGTATGCAATTTTGACGCCGAAAAGTGCCAAAAAGTAATTACAGAAACTTCATCCGCAACACCTTGAACGTGCTGTGGGCGTGAACTGAGATCTTCTCTTACAGTTAATAATTGCCAGGCGGAACTCAGATCCGGCTTAGCCTAATTTGCATAAATTTTTTTGGTGAGCAAAGCTCGTCATGACAAACATGACATTAAAACGCATGTTTGAAAATAAGATTAGTAAACTTTACTTGACGTTTCGTATGCTTCGGCATACATCTTCAGAAGTGACAGCTAATAATACACGTGGCCAAAGAGAAAGAATTCTCAGATTAGCTTCTGTTCACGCAAGAAACACACGAAACAGTTCTAGTGATTTAATATTACCTCGGGTAAAGTACTCATACGGATGGCGTTAGATTATTTTCAGTGTCATAAGAGTTTGAAACAATTACCTTAGGAAGTTAAGGACTCCTCCTATTTCACTTCATGTGATATTTAGGCGTGACCGTGTATGGTTCTCTACCAACTGAGCCAACAAGCCAATTGGAAGCTGATGATTATGTTGGTTCGTAATAAACCCACGTAGTGACGATTTGTTGAACTGAAGGTGTTGGGAAAAGGTTGAATGGTTTAGGTCGCTACAAGCATCAAAATTTGATAAAACTCAACAAGTACTTTAATCCACATCTGTCCAGCCAAAACTACATACTTGCGAGCACATGCACACGTCTTACAATCCCATGACTCCCGAGAATAGGACAGGCACGTAACGCGTGCTTACAGGCATCATGACATTCCTAAACAGAAGGTCACTTTTATGATTTTTATGCATTCACAGTCATCGATTTATCAATTTGCGGGTTTATTACGAACCGAGTTGATAAAGTAGTGAGTGCTCCGGAATAGCAGAGGCATCATACAGGCCTGACCTTTTTTCTTTTCAAGCCTTGTTTTCACTGCTAAGTAAGTAAGGTTCATTACTGCGAAGACCGCTTTCATATTCATTTCTTAAACCGCAGTTCACATACATGATTTCATAAGTTCGCAGTCATTGATTCATCACTTCACGAGTTTATTGCCAATCAACCCACTTACCAGCTCTTGGCTGGCTGTTTAGCTCAATGTCCTCAATTATTAGAGCATTGCATCGGCAGCGCTGAGGTCATGCGTTCAAATCCCGTGCGAGCCTTAATTTTTAGGCCTTATCTTCCCAACTGCTTATGTAGTGTTGATAACTGCGAAGATCGCTTTCATATCCATTTCTTAAACCGTAGTTTACATATATCATTTTCGTACAATCACAGTCATAGACTCACGTCCACAGGAATCCCAGGGATTGCACGAGAGTCAAATGACGACCTTTATCCTGTGGATTATCCCCTCATTCTGCAGCATATCCCGGATATTGATTTATTTGAAAGTCACGAAAACTCTCTAACATTTAATTTCACAAGTTCTTCAGATTTTATCAATTTGAAATTACTCGTCAAAGTTTTATAAGCATGAAAGCTGGCGTATCTCACATACTACTCCAGCCCTTTGGGGTGATATAGCGGCTAATAAATTTTGATTCATTAAAAAAAGAATAGGTGAGAAATTTCATTCTCCATTGTATTCATTGTTTTGTTACTTGCCTTTGATGGGAACTTCTCTCTGAAATCTGTGAAAGAGTTAACATCTCCGAACATAATTTACGATCGAGCGCTTTTGATACGAAGGAGATGGTCTCGTTTTTATATTATGTAAAACCGTGCGAATTGTCCGTTTTTTGTTCTAACCAATGACCGAGGAAAGCTGGGTATAGTTTCGAATCAAAACAATCATGACAGAATGTTTTGAGGACAGTGGATTTTCTCTTTGGTTGAAAACCTTTTGCGATACTTTTAGCACTTTGCCAGATGGCCAAAAGAATTCCACAATTGAAGGTATTATAGATTCTTGCGGACCCGAACAGCTACGGTTTCTGTCCACGAAACTCGAAACACTCGTGAAAAGAGATTATCTGAAATGTTTACCTCTGGAGTTGAGTTTTCACGTGTTGAAATGGCTGGACCCTGTGTCCTTGTGCAAATGCTGTCTTGTAAGTAAGAAATGGAATAAAGTAATTTTAAGCTGCGATGATGTTTGGCAAAACGCTTGTAAGCAGCTTGGAATGGAAGTCAAAGAAGATAACTTGGATTTTGAAAGAAACTCTACCACCACGTGGAAACAGGTTTATATCTCACATTTTCAGAATATGAAAACGTTGAAAAATGAAAGTGCAGTGGTAAAGAAACAGCTGTATGGTCACACAGCCAGAGTGTTTGCACTATATTATCGCGGAAATTATCTTGCAACAGGTGAGGTCATAATTTTCGCGAAAAAATTAAACTGCTAATGATTCATACAGAGCTGATAATGTACGTATTTGTAAATTGGTTATCGTTAAGAGTTTCTTCAGCTGACATTTCAGGCGTTAGCTTTTCACCATTTAATTTGACAAACGGCTAGCACTTGAAATGTCAGCTTTGAAAGCCCTTCACAGTGGCTAATTCACATTGTCATTTCAGCTTATAAAACCAAATAATCTGGCTATACCTCCCATTCACTCCCCCCACCCCCCCCTCACTGCTGCAGCACTATAGTTTCTGATGCAAATTACCTCCCTATCCCCAGTGAGGTGATAAACAAGTGAGGGTGTCAGGGTAAGAATTTCCCACTTCCCAGACCCTGTTTTCCTGTTTCTCACCCTTTTCTTTTTTTTTTCTGAAACATTACAAATTTCTTATTAAAAAAAAAATTTCACACCCTTTTCTAACCCTTTTTTGAAACATTACAAATTTCCTATTAAAATAAAAATTTCACACCCTTTTCTCACCCTTTTCTTTTTTTTTTTTTTTTCTGAAACATTACAAATTTCCTATTAAAATAAAAATTTCACATTTTTGGACTTGTGTCTTGCTTCCTGCCATGAAAAATTTTTCAGTTTCCTTAACCTGTTATATCCATATCCCATATCCCATATCCCATATCCCATATCCCATATCCCATATCCCATATCCCATATCCCACATCCCATATCCCATATGCCACATCCCATATCCCATATCTCATATCCCATATCCCATATCCCATATCCCATATCCCATATCCTATAATCCTATATCCCATTTCCTATCTTACATACCCAACACCCTCTGTGCCCTGCCATATCCCCTCTCCAATACTTACTACAATTGGAGCAGAGCTACCTTCAGTCTTCCTATCTTTATATCCTTTGGCAGATATCCATCCTGCCAGATGGGCTATAGAGCTTGAATAAAAAATTGAATTTACTATTTTTCTCTACAGGATCAGATGATCGATCAGTCAGGTTGTGGGACTTAAAGACAGGACAGTGTACATATGTCTTGAAGGCCCATACATGTGCAGATGTTTGTTTTGATGATGATAAGGTCATCACTGCATCATTTGACAACACTATAGGGATGTGGGACTGGAAAACAGGAGAGAGGTTACAATGCTTCAGAGGACATACTGCTGCAGGTAAAAGGAGAAAACATTTACTGGAAGAAAATACTACAGATTTTATACATTGACTGATTTCGAGGGCTAGAAGGGAGAAACATTTGGCTTCTGGCAAGCATTACAAATGATGGCTAAATATTTTACTCTGTAGCCCTATCTCAGTCATGTATTGTATACTTTCTCACTTGATAATCTATAATATTTTAGCCTTAAACTCCCAAGATATGATTCTTAATTCTCCTCTCCAACCACTATTGATTTTTTTGTAAATTAGTATCAAGAATTTGAAGCTAGATCAAGGCAAAACCTTCTACCTGATAAGTTTGAGTATTCTCATTACCTTTTTGTTGTATAATTAATGTATGGATATAAAAGGAAGAAGTTCCATGCTGATCTGACTTCTGGGCGTTAAAGGGTTTTGTTGCATCTTGCTGTATGACCTCTTCCAACCTTGCTCATTCCACTACACAGAACCCTCATACAGTGATTTTTGCATAATTTTTTGCATAAAAGTGTGTGCAGGGTGGTATGTGTCGCATGGTAAATGATTTTATCATATAAAATGTGGTGTTTATACAAGGATTTCGAGCCCTGATAGAAGGTGTACAACACACTTGAAAAATTATGATAATTTTTCACCAATCAGCTACTGATGCATCAGTCACCTTTTGCACCACTATGTTATGTTGAAGAATGAAAGGCAAAGCCTTAACCTTTCTCTATCCATGGCCATTCGTTGAATTGTTGTGGATTATGGCTACTAAAACACTGAAAAATTGGTCTCACTTACACAAAAATTTGTTATTGCCTAGGGTTGGGTTCCTTTATTCTTTAGTCAGTATATTTAATTGGTGATCGTGTCCTTTATTTTCAGGACCTTAATGATTGATTCAGGGGTGATATTGTGAGGAAAACTTAGATGATAGTCACTTTAGTTAACTCCCAGGAGTGACCAAGACAGAATTTCTCCATACATTATCAATACTATGTCAAACAAACAAAGGATGAGAATAAAGAAATATATCAATATATCAATGAGGGGATCATCAGTTGATCCAGTGCCAAGTTTCTCCACACTAATGTCATGAGAATTGTATAGCAGACTGTAAGGAGAATTACAAAGGGGATCTAGCTTTGAAGGGTGCAGGTGATTTGATCCTCACAGGTTAACAACAGTTGGATTCATTTGCTGGAACAGAAAGAAATGGCTGATACAGTATATATATGATTTTAGTATAATTTCGGAGCTGAGCAAAGAGTTTCGAGCAATCTGATTGGTAGAGTGGTTCCTTATATGACACTATATAAACGGCTCCGCGCGGTTTATATAAAATGTTAAGCTAAAATGTTAATAAATGTTACTAAAATGTTATCATTTTAGAAATTCCTCTCTTGTTCAGCTCTGAAATTATACTAAAACAATTATTAGCCTCAGGATAGGTGAATATTGTCGAATAATCCCCTCGACTTCGTCTCGGGGATTATTCGACGATATTCACCACGCCTTCGGCGAATAATTGTAAAATATCAGACCTCTCTATGTATTCTTATAATAGTTAATTAGCTCTTTAATCCAAGATCTGATAATTGAATTCTCACCTCTAGCTGCTACCCATTTCCTTGGAAATTAATGCAAGAATTTGCTGTTAGATCTAGGTAACAACTTCTACCTGATAAGTCAGAGTATTCTCATTACCTGTTTGCTGGATTATATATGGATATTGTAGGGAGAAGTTACAGGTTAATCACTTCTGGGAGTTAAAAGGTTAAATGTTCACTGGTTTCAAAAGGGACTTAACAGGGATTGAAGCTTACCAACCCCAGGGATATTAGTTTGGTGGTGCCACAAACCCAGGAATGATTAAGCCACTTTTTGTAGTTTAGGGGGACTGTTGATCCACAAAGGAATTGGATTTCAAATAGTTTGTTTGTACCCAGTAACCTCTGGGATATTAGTTTGGTGGTACCACAAACCTGGAAATTATTAAGTAAAGCCACTTTTTTGTACTTTAGTGGGACTGTTGATCCATAAAGGAATTGGACTTCAATTAGTTTGTACACAGTAATTATCTAAAAAAAAAATCACATTTCATCCTGTGCTGGTTTTTATCCTAATGGGTTCACTGTTTCACTCCAGTGATCTAGTTAGCAATTCTCGTTACTGTCTGCCATACAATTCTTTGTTTACAAGTTTGGAGAATTTGGTATTGGATCATCAACCAATAATCCCCTAATTGATATATTTTTTCTCTATTCTCATCTTTTGTCTGCTTGATATTGTGTTGATATTGTATGGAGAAAATTTGCCTTGCATGGTCACTTATGGTAGTTAAAGGCTCAACTGCACTTGAGATCACTGCAGAAAAAATTTCTGTTTTCAGGCTCAGAGAAATTGTTTGTGAACAGGAAACTGTTTCAGGGCTTGTTGTCTTATCCCCTCAATCTCTAATAGTGACCAGCATCTAATTTCTCCTTACAATATCACCCCTGAATCACATTTTAGGTCACGAGAATAAAAGAAATGATCACCAACTACAGAAGCTCTTGATTGTTAAACAAATTCTGCTTGTCAGCACCTTAGGAAATGTATAGAGAACAGTATGGAGATTATACATACTGATGTTAGGGTGAAAAGGTTTGACTTAGACTAGGGTATACACACATTCCACCACTACTTGTAAGCTAGTTCTCAACACTAACAGTAGCCAGCTAGCCACAGACTAATAGAAACTCAGTGATGGCTAGTGCTTTTCAATTTCCACTGACCAGTTAGGCTGGAATTGTTTGAACATTAATATCTAAGTTGTCACTAGCCACTTGGCTAGTAATTAAGTTGAAAAGTGTGTTGAGCCCTTAGAGCTGCAGGCCCCCTTCCCTTTTTCCAGTATGGATTTACTAGGAAAATTTTAATTTGATAAATATGAATATCTGTTTTTACCACTCACAGTGTTCTCAGTTGATTACAGTGATGAGCTGGACACTGTTGTGAGTGGTTCAGCTGACTGTACCCTTCGAATTTGGAAAATGTCATCTGGACAATGCCTGCAGACCAGATATGGTCACTCAGACTGGGTGATCAAGGTATCTACAAAATTTCAGTCTTTGTTTAAATGACTATAGGTAATTTTGGTTTTATCAACTGAGTTGATAACGTAAATCAGCCACTGTGATCATAAAGAGTTTCAAGGTTGACATTTTGAGCCTTAGCCCGTCGTCATTCATCCCAACAAAGGGCTATCCCTCATAACGTTAGCCTTGAAACTCTTTACAATGGCCAGTTTACATTATCTAATATCATAGGTGACAAATTACTCCTTAATTTTGGCGCGAAATTTCAGCGTTAATTTTTGATTTCACATGTGAAATTACAAAGTTGCCATGGTAACATCTCTTGTCTCTCGATCAGAGCCAAGGTGGCGTCGAGATTTAAGACGGTGACCCTTGAAGAAGTTACGAAATTAAAAGAAGCCGCCGAAAATTTAAATACGCGAAAGAGCACAATTAACTGGGTGCGAGCTTTTGAGAAGTGGTGTGACGAAAATAGCCTTGAGAAAAACCTGGAGATGATTCTTCCCGAGCAGTTGGATAAAGTACTCTAAAATTCTGATAATTTCCCTTGCCTTTTCAGAATTTTGAAAAAACGCAAGTGAAATTTTTTCCTAATTTCACTCGTCGCCATTTGATTGGGCCATTCCATTTAATATCCGCACCCCCCCCCATTGAAGGCCTGGGATTTCTTGGGGGGGAGGGGGGTCAATGCTATATTTTTTCCTAGGGGGGTTGAACCATATTTCTGAGAGGGGTCGCCATAAAGTACCCTTGACAGAAATTCTCACGAGTAGTTTCTGAAGGGGGTTGAATTGGTTTGCTTAATAGTTACATAAAATTCTGAAGGGGGTAATTTCAGGCAATTCTGAAGGGGGTTAGAAAACTTCTTTTCTGGAGGGGTGTTACAGGAAAGCCTTCAATAGGGGGGCGTGCGGATTTTAAATGGAATGGCCCATTACACATACAAATCATGAACGTCAAAGGGATCTTTGAAATAATGAACACTGCTTGAGCAGTAGTGAAAATAGGGCCTGGTCATGACCAGCTCCCGGTTTTATGCTTCGAGATGGGATCAGGTTCAAGCTCTGGGTTGTTCATTGTGTAGTGTAGTTGTGAGCAAGACTACCTCCACAGTACCTTTCTCCTTCCAGTAGCATAGATAGGTACTGGCAAACTGTAATTGAACCTTGAGGAGGGTGGGGTTGCATCTTACCCAGTGAGAGGTAGGAAGTCGCTTTATGTATAGGAAAGGTAAGATCTGTCATTAATAT